TTTAGTAAAACTTTACTTGCATGGGATATGAAAGAGATTGTCCAATGATTTCCGCATTCTGTTGGGTCACAACTATGCTCAAAATGCCTACTTTACCTGGCATTACTTTTCCTTTCCTTACTTATTCTATACTCACTTTGCAGGACTCACATCAAATCCCATGAGGCCCTCCTGGATCTCTTTGACTCACAGCGATTGCTCCCTCTCTTGAGTATTCAGCAATTTTCCTCTCCCAATTACTGGGCAATTAATCCTATGCTGCTATGTAATGTCTTATTCTGTAAGGAGGAGCTCTAGGAGTATAGCGGTTATGAGTTGGGCTGCTAACCTCAAGGTCAGCAGTTTGAAACTGCTGCAGGAGAAAGATGAGGCTTTCTGCTCCCCTAAAGATTTACAGCCTTTGTAAACCCTAGGCAGGGCTGCTATGAGTCTGAACTGACTCCACAGCACATCACCACCACGTTACCTGCTTTACCACACATATATCAGGGGGTTTCACAAACACTGCAAGAAAATGGAAAAGAAAGATAATGGAATTTTCCCATGCACTTTTTGAAGCCCCCTTGGTATACACAGAAAGTGAGATAAATGTATGTAGGAGACTATGACTCATACTCTTTGTACACTAGTGTCTGCTGCTCAAAAATACCCTTATTGATTGTTCCATTCTCAGTTCTGAAGTCTCTGATTATACACTTTTTTAACCTTGCAAAAAAAGATTATATGCCCTTTTACACTGTGATCATTTTAATTATCCTTCTTGATCTTTTTTTCAAAACTTCCCTAGATATACCTATTTATAATTGGAACAATGAGACACTTAAAGTACTAGCAATGATTCTAAAGGTGGAATAGGGACATTAGTTTTGTTTCAAGTATCTCTTAATGAATTAATATTAAATATTTTTCTGACCATATTACACTGATGTTACTTAGATTCCTTTCCTGGTTTGTAGCTAATAGCCTTGAATCCATCAATCAATGCGTACGCCTACCACTAAAGCCCCCAGATGTATCATCTGATGTGAGCTTTGTAGCCTGCTATGCTCTTCTCATATTTTTGGTAAGTACGTTAATAGAATTAAGAACATCGGTATGGGGTAAAGACTCACATCGATTATTTTCAGAGGTGCAGGATAAAGGCCTTTGGTCTGCTTCTGTACCGTTTCTTCCACCTTTTTGTAGATCTGTTGCCTGATAAATGGAATCGTCATGGCATATGATGTCAATCCTGTAAGGGAAAATGTTTTAGAAACTTACTGGAAAGAACCTTGCCTCTCTTGTTAGTTGGCTCTGCAAACTCGATTAAAACACAATTAAGTCTAGGTATTTGAAAGAATTGCTCTTTACTCTGCTATACATAATCTCATGATACACACAACCCAAATTTCAACCTAAAGCACTTCCTTATGTTAAAGCTGGGAGGGTATATGGGAGTTATGTGTATAATCCTATCCACTATGCCTGCCAATGTATCATTTTACACTGATGTATTAAATTTTCCAAAATAAAAAGCTTAAAAAAAACAGCTTCAAAAGATAAGCGTAAGGCTCAGGACTTGGCCAAAGTTAGAGTTGTTATAACCCTTGAAGATGACTTTAAGCTTAGTGTATGTAAATAATGTATTTACCTCTTCCTCATTTTCAATCTATAGTAAATAAAATTAAATTGCCAGGAAAGAGGCTTTGTCTTTGTTCTTGGACAATGACACTCACTTTCCACCAAACCCTTGCTTCTCTTTGTAGAAATCTTCTTATCAGCTAGGCCTTTGGCAAAATTAATTGCAACTTCTTCTAGGTACTCAATTGTCCGCTCCTCTGGAGGTTTTACTCCTGGTCCTGTAAAAATGAACACAATAAACTAGACTGCTAATCAGGTTTAGATCAGTCCCAAGTACGCAAAAACCTAGGTATGCCAATGTCATAGGCTCTAGCACTCACCAGCGGCACACGCTTACACTTCAGACTAGAAACAGTAGATGTCAGTCATGAACTATGGGCTCAAAGATGGGGAGTAACACTGAGCAAAGGTTTAACACAAAGCTGGAGGCAGAAAACAAGGTTTTAAGCCATGTCAGTCTAGCTTCCACCTCATAGAAAATGTAGAATATCTCCTCAGGCCTGTATGCTTTCTGTAAAACTGGAAAAAATTAATAAATTACAAAAATCACATTTTTAAAAGACTGGAGTATTAGAAGCAACAAGGAGTGAGTGAATGAAATTCCAGAGATGAAAATTCTGAGGTGAACTGATGACTGCTAGTCATTTTCTTCCCTGGAAGTATGTAGTTATTTTGTTGTGTGCTAAAAACTGAGCTTGACTCAATAAGAAGGATGCCACTATGGAAAAGACAAAGCGTCAGAGCTTTCAAATGTTGCAAACAGATAAAAAGCTAGAAGAAACTAAACACAAGACTAGTTTTGTCCATGGAACATTTGTGAAGCTCTCATGTAGTGTAGCAGGCCAGAGGGGCTGATTTAGAAAGGTAGACTGAAGTCTCTCAAGGTGTCACAATGTTTGGGACACAAAGCACTTCTAATAAAGAAAAATGCTTGTAATAAATATGAGTAGATTCAAAA